CAATGACATAACGTTAATTTTAAAATGGTGGCCCAATATTTTGGCGCAGTGTTGACATAACGTTAACTTGCTGTGCTCCCAATGTCAGATCGATGATGGCGTAATGTCTGTACTCTGAAGTACTCAAGTGTAAAATAGGGATAAGGATGTATGTCATAAGGTAATTTACTGTAGTTCATAATTTGTATTTGGAAAACTTCATCGCTTTGGAAATAAGATTAAGTGTTCGTAAAACCATTGACATCGAAGCCGCGCGATCAAACAGCCGTGTTCCTACTGTTGGTGTTTACTCAAATGCTTCAGACAAAGTCGGCTTTTACGGTACTTTACACTTATATTAACAAACAGTAGTCGTAGCAAAAATACATTTAAGCACGTCAAATTACTAAGAAGAGAATTTCATTCTGTGGGGGTTAGTCTGTAATGCTCAGAAGAGAACTTCATTCGATTTAGTCTCACCTAGCATACATTTCTAAAATTCTAGTCTCTCCTAGCATACATTTCTATTTTCACATCTAATAACAGTTTGGTTATAATCTGTTTCAAAATGATGCACGTGTCAGTAATACATGTTATTATAAGAACTTATGTCTACTTTAATCAAAGGAATATTCCATTATCTTTGTAGAGAATTATAGTGACACGTGTTAGTAGATGATATATGATTATTAAAAAATTAAAAAGGATGCCATTAATATCAATAGCAGTAGCATTTAGCACCTGCCAGGAACGCTTTCGTGTCAGGATCGACCAGCTCATATTGCCGCGCAGAATATAAGATGGCAAAAATACAAGTGTGATACTTGTACTTTGTGATACTTGTACCTTGTGATACTTTTACCTTGTGATACTTGTACCTTGTGATACTTTTACCTTGTGACACTTGTACCTTGTGACACTTTTACCTTGTGATACTTGTACCTTGTGATACTTGTACCTTGTGATACTTGTACCGTGTGATACTTGTACCTTGTGATACTTGTACCTTGTGACACTTGTACCTTGTGACACTTGTACCTTGTGATACTTGTACCTTGTGATACTTTTACCTTGTGATACTTGTACCTTGTGATACTTGTACCTTGTGATACTTGTACCTTGTGATACTTGTACCTTGTGATACTTGTACCTTGTGATACTTGTACCTTGTGATACTTGTACCTTGTGATACTTGTACCTTGTGATACTTGTACCTTGTGATACTTGTACCTTGTGATACTTGTACCTTGTGATACTTGTACCTTGTGATACTTGTACCTTGTGATACTTGTACCTTGTGATACTTGTACCGTGTGCTACTTGTACCGTGTGATACTTGTACCTTGTGATACTTGTACCGTGTGATACTTGTACCTTGTGATACTTGTACCTTGTGATACTTGTACTTTAACATTGAAAAACTCCGATGACCTCGGAGATTGATATATACGCTCTGGAGAGAAAGCGATTCGACTGCAACGGCTGTATAACAAAACTAAGTACCAGGACTAACTGGTGTATCGCCACGAAAAGTCCGATATGACGAAAATGGAAAAAGAAAAGTAAAATGTAGTATTTGCGATACGAAATTGTGTTCTAAACATGCGTTTTTGCAGGCATTATATAACTGTATAACACACAAAATATATAGTGCTAGAATTGTTTAAAACTCCTGCGAGAAGACTTCAGTGCGTTCATTTAATGTATTTAATATAGGAAGAGCCACGACATAGGACCACGAAGTCTATTTAAAGAATTAATGTCAACTCTTAATTAAACCAAGGACAAATGTGAGATATTGCAAATGAAGCCGCTAGGAAACTATCAGGTAAATTTAGATTGTTTGGAAAAAGAACGATAAGATAAAACCCCAAATATAACCATGGGTGCAGTACATTGATCATGGTCACTTTTGTGTCCCAAAGTAGAGGGCTCAAAAGCAAATGCCTGTTTTTGCATGGTGTTTATAAATAAAATGCTTCTTACCTTACGCAGAGAGTAACAGCAGGCATTTTATTTCCTCAATCCCCGAACTACAGGGGTGGAGAGATGAAGCTCCTGTTGACAGTCGTTCAAGCTGTCAGTTTTACTTGTATTTATATACTAGTTGACTTCAAGGTAAGTTATCCACTAATTCATTGTTTGTGTTGATTTACAATGTCATTTCATATAACTACCTAGAGGATAAGTCCTTACGAAATACACTTATCATATATGGTATTTCTTTTATCATCTATTGGAAAATCAAAAAAATGAAAAAGATATTTTCCGTGTACAAACGTGTTTGCTTCATTCGTTTCCTTGTGTAAACATTTTTCTTTGATTGTGTTTGATTTGTTTGTGTTTACATCCTTTTAGCAGCTATGGTCATTTAAAGACGTACCAGGTTTTAGTGGCAGAGTAAAGCCAGTGAACCCGGAGAAAAAAACCCTGATCTTCGGCAAGTACCTGGCGACTGCCCCACGCAGGCCTCGAATATTTCCCCTTTTATATAAACTTTTCCAGGCAATTATTTAGAGGTTATAGATGGCATGCCTGTTTTCATATCAGACCCCAGATTAGCCCGAGGTACCTATATCAAGCCCAAGGGCGATATGAACACAGGCATGTTATGACATTTTAATCAGGTACATTTAGGCCTAACTAATGAAAAAACACATTAAAACAAATAGTTTTCCTCTTCGTGGTGCCGTTTTTCATGCTGTCGACAAAACTATCGGTGCCCCTTCCTTTCGATGTTAACAAACCTTGCCTCTTACAGCATTTGGTCATTTTCTTTGTCGATAAGTTCATTTAATTCAAGTATTCGTTGAGCTAACGACTCGAGTACTGCCTCGCCGTGAGACTCCATTGTAGACGAAAGGTCCGACGACGACGACAACAAGCCTCTACACGGGCGGGCAATATCGATAGGTTATTACACGGGCGGGCAATATCGATAGGTTATTACACGGGCGGGCAATATCGATAGGTTATTACACGGGCGGGCAATATCGATAGGTTATTACACGGGCGGGCAATATCGATAGGTTATTACACGGGCGGGCAATATCGATAGGTTATTACACGGGCGGGCAATATCGATAGGTTATTACACGGGCGGGCAATATCGATAGGTTATTACACGGGCGGGCAATATCGATAGGTTATTACACGGGCGGGCAATATCGATAGGTTATTACACGGGCGGGCAATATCGATAGGTTATTACACGGGCGGGCAATATCGATAGGTTATTACACGGGCGGGCAATATCGATAGGTTATTACACGGGCGGGCAATATCGATAGGTTATTACACGGGCGGGCAATATCGATAGGTTATTACACGGGCGGGCAATATCGATAGGTTATTACACGGGCGGGCAATATCGATAGGTTATTAAACGGGCGGGCAATATCGATAGGTTATTAAACGGGCGGGCAATATCGATAGGTTATTACCCGGGCGGGCAATATCGACAGTTCGAATGATACGGAATCACATATGCAATTTGGTCGATATTTCGAGCAAGTATAGGATAAACATTCCATATTTCTTAATGAATTTCTATGTACATGTTTCATTGTGTATACTCTTCCGTTGTATTTATATATTTATTAGTGCTTTTTACGTGTAGATACATTTCCTTATGTGCGTATGTTTTTTTTGTGGACAATGTTTTTAAGCATTGAACTGTTACCAGATGCAGTATACAGTCGATATGAATGCAATTTGGGGGACCCTAACGGGCGAAATGAATATTTATCTGTCACTCAAATTGCATTCATATTGACTGTATACTGCATCTGGTAACAGTTCAATGCTTAAAAACATAGTTTGTTTTGTATATTAACTGAAGCAAAACTACGTTTGAATTTCCCGCTTATCATATCAGCGACGTCAGTAAGTTCAAATCCCAGAACAGCCGAATTGTTTCCATAGACTGGAGTATTACGTTATTTTCAGAAACAAATATACTCAGAAATGGTTAATTAAAGTGGTCCTTTCAGTAGGGGATAACGATTCCAAGGACATTTCGTTTGAAACAGATTCCATGTCTAATCGGTCAGATTGGCATCGCTAGCAGACGGCGTTCACAGGGGCTCGGTTCCGTGGTTTTGAGTAATGGATGACATTACTGAAGAACCATAACACTTAAAAAGGTATTTATACACATTCTAAAATCTTGTCGATACCCTCGACTTTTACAAGGTTTTATAAATGCTGAATTTGAGTGTTGTTTTTGGTGACTGATGTTATGCAAAACTCAAAATCTCGAAACCGAGCCCCTGTGTGATGACGTTGACAAACTTCATAATTTCGTATCTAGAATTGCGCTTACAATAATTTTGTGGTACCTACACATCTTATAATAAATTTATATTGTCATAATTTATCAAGTTGCTTTATTTTTTGCGATGACCTACATTGCTAAATGCTAACGAACCCAGAAAGTTCTCTGACTATAGGCCTATTGATACCGAAAGTATCTGCATGGTGGCCAGGTATGTTCATACACTGACCGAATCACTGAAAGTTGCAGAATACAGTCTCATATACTGGAATTTGGTTTACTAACAAGATATAGGCAAATGTAACACAGAATGTAAAATGTTTCTTGTAAATGTAGTTTTCCCTCTAGATATATTTTCCTTGTGTTTTTAATCACATCATAAAGTTTCAGAAACTACCCATTCCTTGTGTGGAAACGTAACCGATGACACGACACAGGTACATTAACAATTCGGATACCAGGAAGGTCAAATTTATTCTATTTCAATAAATGTTACTAGGACCATATACATTTGTATTACCGTATTTTTACATATTTAATGAAAATACACGTACGCAATAATCGGAGGAACGTAAACGATTTTTAGGCATACAGGTATACAAAATGTACTCGAAGAATTGACTTAAAGACTTTCAAATTCGTTTTTCAGTAATAAAAGTACTAGTCCAGAGTTTATGAAATGCCAATGAGATAGTGGGACCGACCAGTATAGTCACGTGATTGCTTACAGCCGCTGCATATGAGCTATATATATGTATTCGGTGGAGTGTCGCTTACCATAGTGAACAGTAGTCTCCTCTATCTACACGAGTTAATTGAACGGTTGAGAATTTTCGTTTGCGTCTTTTGGAGTTATTTTTGAGTCTGTATGTTGTCGTAACATTTGCAGTTACGTCGGGAAAGCTAAGCGAAGGCTAGGAGTAGCCATTTGCGTGTGTGTGTGTTTATATATATTAATATTTTGTCGAAGTGTTAATTGTGAATCTTACCAAAATTGCTACCAAAGCCATGCGGGACCGGCCGGAAATCCGGTGCGAGGATAGAGATCTTACTAACGTTCTCAAGAATACACATATTGTTCTACCGGATATCCGAGTTTTGCGTCAAATATCTCACGATACAAAAACTTGCAATTCCGAGCCGGGGTCGAGGTCTTCCTCTTTTAAACACTCAGAAAAGCCAAAATACTTGCATGTGAAGTTCGAATCTATCCGGAGAAAAAGTATGCCGGACAACGTAATGAGTCCCGAGGAAGCCGCTCAAGTGCAGGATAAAGTTGACGGCCTGCATCCCTCCGAGCCCCCGCAACAAATCCAAAGAGTGCGTTCCTTCAAAATCTCCTCCAAAGGAATTGTCAACCGAGGCGACTCGTTCCGACGATCCAGTTTAAGTAATTCTCAAAACTCATTAGCCAAGTCGGACAGCACGAAAAGGACAAAGTCACCATTATGTAAGGCCGCTCCTAAACAGGAGAAGGTGGTGGATTTGTTAGCGCCAGATCAGGACGTGTACCAGGTGTCGATCGTTGGAGCTATGGGGGTCGGCAAAACTGCCATCAAACACCAGTTCGTCACTTCGGAGTACATGGGCAACCTTGATACGTTCTCAGGTAATCACTATATATGACAACATGTAACAAACTGTCTTCGTTAATGATTAGCTCAATAAGTTGTGACGATATATATTCATCTCAGTGAGCTACTTGCAATTGCGTGACCCAGCAAGTACATGTAAAACATATACATAATGGAGTTTAATGTCAAGTATAAGCTGAAAGGGGTTAATTTCAAAGTATCACCTAGGTGACTCAGCAGGTAGAATATATAGGGAAAAGTTAATTATCATGTTTTCCTTCCGTGACCCACTGAGTAACTGAGTTAATTGTCAAGTGACTCACTCAGTCGAAGATTTAAAGGAGTTAATTTTCAAGTATAACATACGTGATTCAGTAAGTAGAAGATAACTTTAGATCTAATTCTAAATTACATCCTACGTGACCAAGGGAGTAGAATATTTAGGCATTGGAACTGATTTCAGTTGGCTTGCATAGGCAATATGAATGCCAAGTGGACACAGGCAAGTTCAATGAAGCGCGGATTTGCCTTTGTACATTTGGAATTCATATTGCCTTTAACGCCACCTAAAAGCGGTTCAATATTTATATTGACCATTTTTGGAATATGCTTATCTCATAAAAAATTCAATTACACTTATCAATATTTAGCGTTTAGTTCAAATAATGTATGTATCGTGTATGCTTGTTCAACGAATAGAACAGCCATCGCCCGGGGAGGTTCAGTGGTAGCCAACGGAACAATTATGACGTCATAATAATGATGACGTCAACAATCGGTCCATGGCATTCATAGCCTATGTGAATGCCAACTGAATTTGGTAGGGATGTATAGTGGCAATGCCATACGATGGCAAATATGTATAATTGAGTTCATGTCAAAGAGAAACCTACGTGACCTAATGAGAAAAATATATCAAATAAAGTTAAACTTCGAGTATAATTTATATGAACAAGAGATTAGACGTTATAACTAAGAGTTAATAGTATAAAATGTTTGACCCAGCGATCAGAATATTTATATATATATTGAATACTGTTAGTTCTAAATTATGAACGATACATGAACGATTTATTGGAATATATGATAGAGATAATTTGCAATTATAACCTTCAATGTACGCGACTCAGCCCACGTGACGTATTTAGGAATTAACTCATAGGGATAGATATTGATTGTTATTGACTATTACGAGTTGGGAAGTTTGTTTCTCTCATAACTCGAGTTAAGTGGTTTTGTGACGTCACGTCACGTGATACGTTATTCACTCTGGGAGTGATGAAATCTAGTGCAGGTATGGGGACATCAGTTTTATTTTTTTCAAAAGCCAACAGCGTTATAATTGGAACACAATTTGACGCCTATGGAAATTGATGGAAGTTTTATCCACCGGGATACCTTTCTTGAATATAAGTTAAGTTGTGTACTTCATTAGAATTTGTCGTGACTAAAAATTATTCTAAAGAAACAACGCTTTCATATCAGAAAAGACAAGATGCATATACATATATATTCTAATTTGGGTTATATGTATAGAGTTATATACAACGGAACATACAGTCACTCTACGTCCAAACTTTCGGGCTTAGCCCTTCCTCAGTGATTGAATGTTCCTCTCTCTTTAGTCGCATCCATATTTGAAAACAGTTCACACACAAAGAAGAAGTTTTACTTGTGGTCAGGTTCCAGCGATTTATAGATGTTTGTCACCCGTCACATGGGACAACACTTTCACACTTAACAAAGCATAACGCTTTTCTTAGTTGTAACTTGAAATATTGTGTATGCTATTTACTAATAGTTCATTGCTAGACAGGTGGATATTTGTACTGTATTTATTAGCACTGTATATTGTTGTTTTCTTCCTTCTAGCGAGTTGTTTATGAATAAGACAACAGCTGACATTATATCACGGCGTCATTTTTGCATGTTTACCTGCACAACAAATGCACGTGCTAATGTCCAAACAATGAGTATGGCCACATATATAAACAACGTCTGTCAAAACAGATTAGCATTCAAAGATTTCTTGTTAGATTTCCTACAAGTGTTTACGGTATATCGGCGAAAGATAAGGACCCACACGTGTATATAAAGACTGCGGCTTCCGTTATTGCGGACAACACGCGCATCGCCAATCGTTTATCTGCGCATAATTGCGGCTGACATCTTGTTATTCTCCCACCATGCATATATCATTCTCTGTACAAGTTAGAGATATATAGACTTCCAATGGTTAGAATACTGTTACCGGTAACTCAGTTTACTATGTACCGAGTTTTGTTATAGATAAATCGTTTTCGTACCTTCGAGAGAAGGATACAAACATGGCGAGGGAGAAACCGAGCTGGAATGTTTGTAATGATACCGCCGGCGGCGACGTCATACATGCGTCGAACACAAAATAATAATGTACATACCATGCCGATAAGCGTCGTCATACACGCGCGTCTAAACCCAATACTCTGCAGATAAGCGTCGCACATATATACACGTCAAGCGTTACAAGAGCCGTCATATACATGTACACTGCACATGTACGCTTTTCGAATACGTATATACGTTGCATATTTGCTTTGTTCAGCTCGCGTATAACGCTTGTATAGTAAGTTTCGTCACCTAGTACTTAACATCGTCACACATACCGCGCTCGTTACATACATTGACAGAACGCATCCTCATACACGCGTCTAACCCTATATACATTGGGGATAGAGATTGTCAAATTTTGTTTTACCTGTAAGCTGAAGCTTTGCAGTCCACGTGTCTAGCATAACACACTATATGTATACTTTTCATTATTCACGACACATCATTGAGATAAGTGTCGTCATTCACATGTCTGACGCAAAATTCCATTTTTGTAAACATCGTCATTCACGCTTCTTATTCTACCTACCATGGAGATTTATGTCGTCATTCACGCGTCATAAGTATGAAACTCAATATCGTTGTAATTTTTCTTTAAATCGTTCAAAATGTTTTGTGATTTGGCACGTTTAAGCCTGACATATCATGAAAATAATCATATTTTCTTAATACTTTTGCAACAGTAGCCTATTGATATTCATCCCATAAATTTCCCCCGCACGACAAATAACCAAAAAAACAATACATAAAGGTAGCTAGATTGTACATTGTTGTATTTACAGATTAACAAGCCATATGCGATCTTAAATGAGACACTCGTGGTAAACAGATGCTGTTTAGACAATATGTAACAGCCATGTTTTGGAACAGGGTCTATCTGTTCGCGCTAGATTGTAGATAAGACAGTGTTCGCTTTCACTTGCCTGTGATTGGGGAATGTTCTGTGTTAACATTCCGGGGGCGATGTTTGAAGGGAACGGCCGTAACAAACTTGTCCCTCGGTACTGTTGTATGGAGGAGTGTTCTGTGGAGATTTGTGTAATCTTCATGACACATACTTGGAACTATGCTAATTAGAGTTATTGCACATTTACGTTGATTGGGTGAAAACTATAAGATCTTATTTACCGCGAAGTGAAAGTCATTGGCGCCATGTAATATTGTCTTTATCGACAAAGAGCTTGTATACACGTAACTAGGCAAATGTCTAATTAGTACCGATGAACCTGTCTGATAATTAATTGTAAAATCCGAAACATTTATGACACTGGTTAGACATTTTTCAATGGGATAAATATCTATGTTTGAGGTATAGAGCTAGCTAAGCTACATGTAACCCGGTGTAATCGAGCTATAAGTTGGAACTGCTTTGTAACGATATTGGTGTAGTTATTATAGATGTGTATAGCTACTAGGACAGTGTATTATATGTTCTGGGTTGTATGCACTGTGGTTAGAACATTTACGTACGATGGCCGGAACGTTTTCATTGGCGAGAAATGCAGAAATGAGGCACTAATCAAGCTAACATATAGTTATCGGCATTGACATCAACATCCCAGAACAAAACAATGGCATATAGTGTCAACATACAATGACGAGATATACTACAACATCCCAGACCAAAACAATAGCATAGTGTCAACATACAATGACGAGATATACTACAACATCCTAGATCAACACAATAGCATAGTGTCAACATACAATGACGAGATATACTACAACATCCCAGATCAACACAATAGCATAGTGCCAACATATAATGACGAGATATACTACAACATCCCAGAACAAAACAAAAGCATAGTTTCAACATATAATGACGAGATATACTACACCATTCCTGAACAAAACAATGGCATAGTGTCAACATACAATGACGAGATATACTACAACATCCCAGAACAAAACAAAAGCATAGTTTCAACATACAATGACGAGATATACTACAACATCCCAGAACAACACAATAGCATAGTGTCAACATACAATGACGAGATATACCACAACATCCCAGAACAAAACAATAGCATAGTGTCAACATACAATAACGAGATATCCTACAACATACCAGAACAAAACAATGGCATAGTGTAAACATACAATGACGAGATATACTACAACATCCCAGATCAACACAATAGCATAGTGCCAACATATAATGACGAGATATACTACAACACCCCAGAACAACACAATAACATAGTGTAAACATACAATGACGAGATATACTACAACATCCCAGAACAAAACAATAGCATAGTGTCAACATACAATAACGAGATATACTACAACATCCCAGAACAAAACAATGGCATAGTGTCAACATACAATAACGAGATATACTACAACATCCCAGAACAACACAATAGCATAGTGTCAACATACAATAACGAGATATACTACAACATACCAGAACAAAACAATGGCATAGTGTAAACATACAATGACGAGATATACTACAACATCCCAGAACAAAACAATAGCATAGTGTCAGCATACAATGACGAGATATACTTCAACACCCCAGAACAAAACAATAGCATAGTGTCAACATACAATAACGAGATATCCTACAACATACCAGAACAAAACAATGGCATAGTGTAAACATACAATGACGAGATATACTACAACATCCAAGAACAAAACAATGGCATAG